CTAAATGGTTTTGCTACTGATGACAATTGTTGGGTAAGTACAATGACAGATATGTTGTAATGTCTTGCGGAGAATGCTAGACGTATCAGTTCTGAGACTCTTTTCTTTACATCTTGACTTGCCGCACAATCGTCCACTATAATGAGAGTTTGAGTACCGCGGAATATGGTGGACACTGCCTTGAGAACAAGATTGATCATTTCTTGTGAGCATGGAATCTGAATAACTCCGTGATCACTAATATGAGCCCAATTAATGTAAGTCATATTCCACTCTATTGTTGGACATATAATGACAATGTAATCGAATACTCTATTGTACTCTGTTTCTAGCATATTAAGTAGGAACTGAGTTTTGCCACTTCCAGTCATTCCTACTATGAGCATGTTGAATGGTTGCATCTCTATGCTTTACCGTTAGTATTGAATACTTGATAGATCTCTATTGGCAAAGTTAAGGAGAGCATCTGATACAATAAAAATGTTGCACTGAACGTCAGCTGTTGTGGCTCTCTTTTTGATTTCCAGGAGTACTCCCGACTGTGTATTAACAATCTTCTTACCTCCACCAGTGGTATCATCTTGTGTTGACCTTAGGTCGATTACTAGAGCAAAACCATTGGTGAAGAACTTGCTGATGGACATAAACTCGTCTGCCATGGATTTCTCACACATAGGGCAGAAAAATCTTTTTGCCTCTTCGAAGAACCTATTTTTATGAAGTCCTTGGGAGAAGACTGCATTAGGCACACCCTCAATGGTCAGGTTCACTTTATCAATGTTTGGGTAAATATATTCTTCAGAATCAGTTCTCACTCTATTGGTAAATAGAAGGACAATTGCTGACATGCTCTTCCTGGGGATATTTATGTTCTCATTGACAATGGTAAGATCTTTGTCCCAATTACTCGTACGCATAAGTGTAACATGTTTGTAGGACAGTGAGCGGCCTGTTGAATACATCCTTGATACTTCACTCGCAAGGGTGTCATTCTCAATGGTCTCGTATTCTAGCTCAAGATTGTCCAGTTTATAATTACCCTTAGCTTCACCTCCTTGGGCAGTCATAATCTCATCTGATTGCGGGAGTGTGAGGATGTACATAGGATTGTTATTCATGGAGAACGGTGTGTAGAGTCCATGGTCTGCGATTATTTTATCAATTGGTTTTCCCAGCTTAGAACCGTACACACTGTGGAGGAGTGCATCTGCTACTTTATTGGCATCACCAACTTTTGCTCCTGAGTCATCACCTGATATCAGCTTCCTGAGATTCTCACTTGCAAGACCCTGTTCTGTCATCTTATTTCTGTCGCCAACAGTTAGCCATAGATCTTTGTATATTTCATACAAACTCTCTCCTGAACAATCATAAGCTGTTTCACCTGCTACTTTAATCTGAAGACGCTTAGCTATCAACTTAGACAGGTTGTTATTAAAGCGGCTTTTTGTATTGGAATTTTTAAAGTCAAATAATAGTGCAAACGATCCTGGGACTAGGCAAGAGTCAGGCTTTAGTTTGGGGATGTTAATGTACAGCTCTTCACCTGGGCTAATAGTTGTTGGATTAAATGTTACAACACTTCTAGTTCTTGGACCTTTTACGGATGTCATACGACTTCTCCTGAAGCCTGGCTGGAGTTCTCTTTCTGTGGTATTCATACTTTATACAATATGTAATGTTTAGTTGTATTTGTATAGTAAAATTATTCCTGTAGCTGTAGCTACCACCCATAAGTTTGATGATATGAATTTAATCAGTTTGCTTGTTATATCAGGGAGTGGCCTGGGTGAAGAATCTGCACCTCTATGTGTAGAGTTTGCTGTCATTGAGGATATTTTTCTAGTCTGTATGATAATAGCTGTAAGGAGAGCAGCAACTGACACTATAATACTTGCAAGCACAATTCCGAAGTTATTCTCAACCCATGATTTGAATCTTTCATACCTCGTTAGATATTCCCTAACATCCTTCAACATGATTTCTGTACTATCACCGCTAAATATAGGTTGATCATCTTCCGGGATAGTATCCTCTGCGACCTGAAATAGGAGGTTCTCAAAGTTGAAAGTATCCTTTAGCAATTCAGTGTCTACCCCAGGTAAAGGTTCCTCGGTCTTCTTACCTCTTTTGGTCTTCTTGGGTTCCCCAGGTTTAGGTTTCTTAGGTTCTTTACCTCTGTAAGGCTTCTTGGGTTCCTCAGGTTGAGGCTTCTTTGGGATTTTCTTAGGTTCTTCCTTGGGTTTAGACTTTTCTTTTTCCCATTCTTCGAGCTTCTTTTTCCAGTACTCTGTTTTCTCCTTATCACCTTTTACAGATTCCTGGCGTCTTTTAATCTCGTCTCCTTTACGCTCAAACTCAGCTTTTCTCTGACGTTCGGCAGCTTCTTCTGCAAGCCTCTCGCGTTCTAACTCGGCAGCCTTCCTACGGTCTTCTTCCTCCTTCTTTCTAACTTCTTCTTTCCTACGTTCTTCTTCCTCTGCTTCTAGCTCTTCCTCGGGCTCATTGGGATTGAAACCTAGGTTTTCCATAATACCCTTCAATCTGTCTATTTTTTCCGAGTAGTCAATCCTTCTAACTTCAGCCTTGGCTATTCTCCTAAGTACAACTAATGTTTTTACCTCTTCCTTGAGAGTGTTGTGGGTTGCGTTTAGATAGGCCTCGGTTTCTGAATTCTTCAAGGTCTTTATTCTTCTTAGCTGACTGACGTATTCAATTTCTCTTTTAATATCTTCTTTCTCGTCCGACTGCTCCGTTCCCGTTACCCTCCTTCGGAGAACTTCTATTTCAGAGTCCATATCTTCAGGATTCATTTCCCTATAGCCAGGGTATAATCTGTTTAGCTCATCTAGGTCCTCGGTTCCCAGGTCTCCTTCCCATATCCCAGAGTATTCACTATTGTATTCATCAAGAATGGTACTTACTCTATCCATCCATGCTGCCTTGTATTCTACACTTTCAGCCATTATTATACTTTACTTACTGTAATTATTGTACACAAGTAGGGCAGCTGCTACAGCTAATACCCATAAGTGTGACGCTAACCAGGCAACTCCTTTTGCTCCCCATGATAGCGCTGTTGCAATTGCGTTCAGGATTGGAACTAGAATTGGTCCTGCTTTCTTTGCTAAATTTGCTAATGCTTTTGCTACTTTACCAGTGGCCTTTGCTGTCTTCACAATGGCTCCCCTAGCATGGATTAATAAGGCTGTAATTAAACTAGCTGTTGACACTGCTATCCCTACAAGTCCCACCTTTTCCTTTCCTACCCAGTCTATAAATCTGCGCAATCTAGAAATATCTTCCAACTGTGCCTCTCTTGCTTCCTCTACTACTCTCTGCTCTAGTGTCCTATCCCTAGCTTCCTTTAGACTATCAATTTTTTCTATAAGAGCATTGTACTGAGTTGTACCTTCCGCTGACGCGGAGCGTTCCACGGTTTCATTAATAGCTTCATTAAAGTAGTCAGCCTGAACTTGTAACGCTCCATTGGGACCTGTTCTGCCTTCTATGCTTGATCCATCAGGTGGGTTAAGAACACCCCTCAGTTCATTGTTTTCTTGCATTGTTAGCCCTGGAAGGTCTCCTAATTTTGCGCTTACATCTATTAACTCAATGTTCTCACGGTTAGCGTATTCCTCACTACTTTCATCAAATTGGGACTCTTCTTTAGTATCCTCGTAAATTGATTCATCACTTCCAATTATATTGTCAGGATTCGTAGGTACCTCTTTTATTTTCTTTAGAAGGTTCTTATATTCTCTCAGAGCAGGTGAGTCCTTTGAGTACACTAGATTCTTGGTCTTACCACGTTTCATTATTTGTGTCCCACTTTTATCAATACCTTGTTCACTTCTAAATACCAGCACCTCTGTGCCATCCTTGAGTGTTCTGACAGATGATCGTTTTATGAGTTTTCTGACATATCTATTCTTAGGGTCTAGTACTAGTCCTTCCTTACCCTTGATAACTCTTGCGACAGCTTGAACACGCTCTACTTGGTTTTCAAAATCTCTCTTTTTATTTGCTGTTGAAATCTTATTTAGTCTCTCTAGGCGGGCTTCTATTTCATCCCAGTCAGCGTCAAATGATTCGTTGAATGCATCTAGAACGTCTGGAAGTACACTGTTTGGGTCTTCCACAAAGTCGACTCCTTGAACGGTCGTGCTTCCTGATGGACCTGAAATGTCCACTGTACCATCATTATCCTCAGTAAAGGTTGTTTCCTGCTCTCTAAGTCTTTCAGTTTCATCCAAGGATTCTTTAATTCTAGAAATTGTTTCACGGTGCCTCATGAGACTCTTCACATAGTCCAGTTCACTTTTAAGATTGGTTATCACCATAGGGTCATCACCATACATAGCCTCTCCCTTCACCCTTGTATCTAACCTACTAAAAGCTGTCGTTAGGTCATCATAATTAAGGTCGTCATATTGAGGATACGTTTTTTCCGCCTCCTCTAACTCAATGTCATAGTCCTCCATAATACTTTAACTTATGTTAGGGACTTAATGTCTCCAGCTGGTATCCAACTGTTAAATTTGTCATCATAACCTAACCACTTAATGAGAGCCATCGTTTTACCCTTCACTGTTCTTCTTCTTAATACTTTCTCTATTCTGAAATCAGGTTCTCTTCCTTCAGCGCTATACATTTCTTGTTCATAGAATCTGCCAATTATTGGTTCATCAGCACTGTCTTTTATTGTGTACGTGTTTGGATGACCGTGATACACTTCCGTCACAGTGAACAACTCCTCTGTGAAATTTGCTTCGTACCCTTTTGTGAACACTGATTTGTACTTCGAGATCCTAACACTTTCTCCGACAGTAAACTTTGGTTCTGACGGCTTGCCTAAATTGTGACTGAAAAGTGTCTGCCATACTTCAGTCCAATTGGACTCATTTACGCTGTCCGGTGTTGTTTTAATTGATCTGTTCACTGAACTGTTGTAATTATCAGTTAAGTCTTGAAGGACGTCTAACCATTTATATGTACTGGCACTGTAAAAGTACTTCCACATTAGCGCCTTCAGTGTTCTGTTAAATCTTTCCACAACTGCGGCCTTTTTGTCTGAGTAAGTAGAAAAAAATTCAATGTTATGTTTATTAAGCAATGACTTTACATCTTTATTGTAGAACTCTGTGCCTTGATCAAACTGGGCGAATTTTGGGTATTTACCAAAACGATTATTAAATTGCTCTAAAATGTCACTAACTGCGTCCTTCATTGATGTCGCGTTTTTCCTATACACTGGTACTGTGAATGCGTACCTACTCAGTATTTCAATGGATGTAAGAATCCATCGGTATCCCTTGTTCTTGTCATCATATTTTGTCATATCAACTAAATCCATTTGTAACTGTTCACCTAAAGTTTGAACGTACGTCTGTCTGAACTTATGTTTCCTAAATACTTGTCTGTACCTAGTGTATGTGTCCTGCTCGTTTATCCATTTCTTGACCTGGTTTCTGGTTACTTTAAGTCCGTCTGATACTGCTCTAAGATATAGTTTCTCTGGTGTTTGGAATCCAGTCTTAGGATTGTAGTAAATATCTCGTAGTCCTTGTTCTTTCATAATATCATCGTCCATCTTATATTAACCAATGTAAGCTAACTACTCAAAGTACATCTCAAGTAGCACTTCACCTATATCAGTAGGTTTCCCGTCTTGATCTGTCATGCGGAATACAAGTTCTGAGAAAGAACCCTTGATAACTGAAATCCTACTTTCAACATCAATGTAACTAACTACCGAGCCTAATAATGGTCTGTCAGTTGGAACTGTAACACTTGTTATTACATCGCTGGTTCTTCCCCAAGGGTTAACTTTGTGAGTGCTACTTACTAGATTGCAGTGTATATTTACGTATCGTAGACCGTTATTGAAGTCAACTTTGCTATCACTTGTCAAACTCCTCCCTTTTAGTAGGATCATAGGATTATAGAATCTATTAAAACCTAACATAGTCAGTAATCGTGTTTCTATTGTGATATCTTGTTTTACTGCCTCTATTTGACATCCTGCAGTTTCAGAAAAGTAGGTTAGCTTAACACCGTGTCTTTCAAGTAACTTCTTCATACTGTCAAATGTGTAGTAACCTTTATGAATGATTACATCAGATTCTCCATCATCTGTTTTCACCTTGAGAATAGTTGTTGGTTCCCTTATGTTGAAGTACTCCCAGAATACTGATACTCTCTTTATAAAGACTGAATTATAATTGCTTGTAAGAACTGAATTCTGTAGTGATACAATAGTGTGCGAGCCCTGAAGTAAAATTGTGAACTTCATCTTAATAACATACGTTAGGTTATTAAGAATGAGACTAGGTGGAGGACAAGTTGGTAAGTCTCCGTATAGATCGTATCAGGAATATGAAAATAAGTATGGAAATAAAGATGATGAAGATCATGTCGATCCTGTTGCTGTTGCTGGTAAAAATGCAGAGAATGCTGAGAGGGCTAGATTTATTAAAAAGTACCCTCACGCTGACATGAATAGGTTTAAATTTGAAACAAAGGCTACTAGTAGTGGTGATATAGGAGTTATCACTTGGTTTGTTGATTTAGATGGTATATCTTCATATGACATTAGATATGACGGTTTTAAGAAGGATAAGGAATTCACATCCTATCTCACTAGTACTAAGGAAATTATTACTCCAGTACAATTCAAAACTATGACTGGCATGGATCAACCTCCACTAGAAGTAATAACAACCAAGTGGCCTTCAATGTGGTCCAGCGGTGGTATAGTTCAGAAGATAAGTTTTACTGAGGGTGATCCTGTTATTGGAAAGTATCCTCCTATTACAAAAACTAATCCTATCTCCAACTTTAAGGTTTATGTTAGTAACAGTGAGTTTTTCTATAGTAACCTTCCTAAAATTAGTGATTATATTAGTATTGATAATGTTACACCAAAGTTTAATAAAGAGTTGTCGTATTATGCTACGATATGTGGAACTTATGTAGCTACATATCTATGTGGAGTCTCTACTTATCATACAAGTCCTCATAGTAATGTAAATCCTATTATCACATCTATTATGAACTTTCATGTGTACTTATGGATTAGAAGGTTTATTAAAAATCCTAGTTTACTTCAGCAGTATTCTGATAGGTTAAAGGTAATATCTAGTAATATTCCTGTTAAGGGTCAGTGGGAGGTTGATAAGTTTAGTGATAGTCGAGCATCTATTGGAATTGTGTATAGGAAGTTTAGAAATGAGCATAGAACTGTTAGAAATGTTAGGTATGCTAAAAATACATCTGGAATGATAGTTGGGATTAGTTATGATGAGCTTACAGGTATGTCTTCCCTTGCTAGTCTAAATGATTATATGAGGTGTTACGCAAACAAAAAGCGTGGGTCTTGTTGATACCTCACTTTTACAGGAAAGCTTGCAATGTTATGTATACTGTGTCCTTGGAGCTCAAGCTAATACTCGGTGGGCTATAGTAAACCGTGGAACCTCCTCTTTACTGTCTCAAAAAGGATTCCGTAAACTTGTAGAAGATGTTGTAGTTCAAACTGATATTTCAGTTGGAATCGCTAATATGAGAACAGCAATTAGAGATACTAACGCAATAGTAAATACAGCAATAAATCCTGGCATTTTATTTCCATCAAATTTGGTAATATTAAAGGATCCTATTCCCGGTTATAATAATATTCTACTTAAACCTAACTCTAGTGTTAAGTTTGGTGTAAATACTAAAGTAAATTATGTAGGTGTTAAGAAAGCTGATCCTCCAAAGAAGCAACATCAGGATACAACACCTGTTAATCACCTTGATACTCTTAGTGGATACGTAAAACAACAGATTAAACCTAGAGAAAACAACTCCTTTCGTAGAACTATGGTTAACAGTAATAATTCTTCAGAAGTTAGCGCTATTGCTGGGGTTGGAATTGGTGCTACAGTTCTATTCATTATAATGAAAATGTTCTTGTAAACATTATGTATGTTATAAAAATGGCTCTCTATAAGGGATATAATAAGGGTATAAATAATGTTGATCCAACAACCGGTAGTGTGTTTGATAAGAACGGATTTACCATGAAGGGTGACATTGAGATGGACGGTAATGAGGTAAAGGGTTTAGGTGCACCCACAGATGATACGTCTGCGGTTGCAAAAAAGTGGGTAGATGATGAGATTATAAAAAGAGCTGCTCTTTCAGTTCAACCTGTAGGGTTCACAATGACTGGGGATATTAACATGGGAGGTAATAGGGTAACTAATCTTAATAATCCTACTAATCCAGGTGACGCCGCCAGTAAGAGCTGGGTTGAAGGTGGTCGTGCAAGTTTACCTGGTCTTACCCTTACAGGTGATCTTAATATGTCAACCAATGAGATAAAGGCCTTAGGTGACCCTACAACTGGTAAGTCTGCCGTTAGCAAAGACTGGGTAGTTGGAATGTTAAATAAACCTGTAACTGGACTTAATATTGCTGGGGATATTGACATGAAAAACCATGAGATTAAAAATCTCAAGGACCCCACTGAGGACCAGTCTGCTGTTAGCAAAGAATGGTTTAATTCAAACACCGGCAATTTTCTTAAGCTGTCTGGTGGTAACAATCAGTTTGTCCGTGGAGAGGTTCTGTTTGATAAAACTCCGCATACTAGCGAAAATGCCTCCACTTCAAGTGGTCTTATAAGGAAAGCCCTTCTAGATAAAAGGTTGGGTTACTACGTTCATCGTAACGGTCTAAATACAATGACAGGTGATCTTAAAATGGATGGACACGAAATAGTAAATCTTAAGGACCCAACCGCTGACCAGTCTGCTGTTACAAAAAAGTGGGCCACTGATAATAATTTTGTTAATCTAGGAGGTCGCATGTCGGCTGACATATCAATGGCTGGATACAGACTCTTCGGACTGCCTGACCCGACCATTGATAACGAAGCCGTTCCTAAAAAGTGGGCTACCGACCGTGTTGTCCTAAGAGGTGGCCAGAACTCAATGAAAGGTAATTTGCGAATGAGCACTAACCGAATTACTGAACTCGGTGATCCAAAAGACAATACTGATGCAACCTGTAAAAAGTGGGTGGAAGATAAGATTAGTAGCGGTAGAAGCAAGCGTGAGACTTACAGCGGACTTACACTTTCTGATGACCTTGATATGGGAAACTACGAAATAATAAAGTTAGGTGCTCCCACAACCGGTAATTCTGCTGTGTCTAAGAAATGGGTCACGGATCACGTCAGCGTAAGTTCAATTAGTAGCAGCGGCTTTAATATGACAGGTAATATTGACATGGGTGGTTATAGTACTACAGGTCTCAGTAGTGGATCAGCTGGGGACTCGGCTGCAGTTTCCTATAAAGCTATGAGCTCCTGGTGCTCGCAGTTCTTAAAGCGTGGTGGTGGTGTTTTATCGGGCAATCTTGATGTTAACGATTATGAGTTAACTAGGGTAGGTAATCCTACAACTGACGGTTCTGCTGTAAATAAGAAATGGGCAACTGATGAGTTCATGAGTAGTAGAGGTGGACTGGTAAAGGGTGATTTGGATATGGGAGATTCAAGTGGTATTCTTGATCTAAAGGATCCGGTAAATGATAAGGATGCAGTTAACAAGCAATGGGTAGAAAAGAATTTCCTAAAACCTTCCACAGGTCTAACTCAAGCAACGGCTGACATTAGATATGTAAAAAAAAATCTCCATATCTATTCAGAGTGGATCTGGGGTTATCGTGGTGTATCAGTTGCAGCAACAAGGTACTATGCTTACTGTCAAGATCAGATTCCACCTTCATGGAGAACAGATACTATTAATAATATGACAGACCTTAACCTTGAGTCAATTACTATTAAATCAGATTTCCCAACTTTATCAACTGTTCTAAATATACCCCTAGCTCTAATCCTGTGGGCTACTGTATGGGAAAAGCAGTCTAATGGAAAATTTACACAGGTTAAGAAGGAAATCGCTCTGAGAACAATAGACTTAAGAAGACTGTCACACACTTGGTTTAATGGAACTTACACAACTACAGGTGGAAGTACAGCTTGCTATGTCTTCAAGGGTAATAGTATGTTCTATTTAGGAAATCAGGTTGAGCTGGTAGATAATACGCTAGCCTGGTGTATTATAGTTAAACCTGAACACTCAATGCCAACTGGATCGAGTATGGATATGTCCTTTTGCTGGTCACTTCGATACTCAGGGTCAGGTGCTTAACATTTGTTGTATTATAAGGTATCATGTCAAGGTGGAGGTCATGCTTCTCCTGCTTGGGTAAGATTTGTGGCTGCCGTAAGAGTTCTAGTAAGGATAGGAGGGCTGGTGATATAAATTTCTCTGTATCAAATAATATTAACGTTGGAGTAACCACACAGGGTAAAAAAGATGACTTAAACAGTGTATCCGAACCAGGAAGTTACGGCCCCTTGTGTATCCTCAAGGATGGAAAAAAAGATGTTGAATAGGCTTTGGAATAGAGGAATTGAATGAGATTGGTGGAGTTGAAATTTGAAGATTTGAGAGAAGTGAATCGTTTTAATTTTGTTAGAAAATCTAGCGCCCAAAAAACCAATATGGTCTAGAAAATAAAATTATGATTAAAAAATTCAGATTGAGCCAGACGGATTTCGGTTCACGGAAAAATGGTCGGAAATCTGATCATGCTCATTAGCATAAAAAATGGTCTAGACACGCTAGTTCCTATACTACTCAGGTGCATGCCCTTTCCATTCCAAAAATGCCCCTCAAAACACACCCCCCCCCAATCTTTTGATGCTCCTATGCCCCTGATCCACACCCCTCCCCCTTCCCAGCCGGCCATCTTTCAATATATGGGTGGTGCGCAGATTTAAAGGCACACAGTCACCATTTCAACAATGTTATGTTAACATTAACATTAAAAGAATGATTTTTTTAAGTTTGAATTGTAAGCATATTATACTATAAAATAACATCGCTCAAAGCTCAAATGGTGACTGTGCATGTATAAATAAATGGAATGGCCAATTAAAATTATTGAAATAAAATTGACTATGAAGTTGAAATGCAGGTTTACCTTTGAAGATTCAGACTTTTTAAAATTATTATTAATGTCTAGCATACACTGCTTCCACTTGTTGTAATACTTGGAGGCAATACGTTTCTGCTGATCGAAATCCTTCCGTATCACGCGAACTATTGCCTCAACTCGCGTTTGCACCTTCTCTTCTCTTTTGCTCTTGTATCGTTCAGCCCGTTTACGCTTCTTTCTCAAGTTCTTGATTTTCTTTTTTGCTCAACAGAACGCCCCATATATTCACTATTCTATGGTAATTTTGCGTGATAAAAGTATAATGTAGATTCACATTGAGAACATTTGGCGCGCTGAATTATAAAAATACCGGGAATGCGATTCTGCCTAATTTGGACATTAAAGCCATATTTGGGTATATTAGTGGGGAGGTTGACTGCCGTAGTTTAAATCACTGTATCCCACACATATAAAACACAATGGGAAGCGTTTTGATTTTAATAGACAAATATGCAGCGAACGAAGTATTATATTCGTTTTCCCGTTTAGTATGGAATAAAAGAGTATTTACAAGGCTTGTAATGATATTTAAAAGGTCAGTCAAGTTAAATTAACGAATATTTTAACAAAATTTGTTTACTATTTTCTATACAGTATATATTTATATATGTGGGAGACATCACTCCTTTGTTGTCTGTAATGTTTAATACACGGGACTATTATTAATAATTTCGAAGATAATTTTATACAATGCAAAATGTGATAACGATCTTCATTGAGAATAAAACTGTCCCGTGTGTTAAACATCACCTAAATAAATCTAACATTTGCTTTTAGATTACATACATGCTAATAATATACATGACAAACTGATATTAACCTTTCAATTTCATTATGACTTTGGCAGTTTCTATTTGTTTCAGTTTGTCTTTCATGACTGAATCTGCTACTAGATTGTCATACGTTGGTAAATTATTGTTTGAAATGAAATAATTCTTTTCCCAATTTGCAATGTCCTTCTCCAACTCTCCTTTCTTCTTTGATACCTTAGTTTGAATAATTGCAAGTTTGCGCATGTAGTTATCCAGCAAAAACTTATCTTGTCTTTGATTCTTGGCATTCTTTCTGGCTCGATCAAATTTAATGACGTCGTCTGTATTTCCGAGGATGTAAGCCAATGTCGAACCCAGTTTAGTATTCCACTGTTCTTTATTTGCACTTGAAGAGCCTTGAGTGACTTGAACATTGTTGGCTTCATTTGCGACTTGAGTACACTCCTCCACTATAAAAATATATGAAGAAACAGCTTATATGAGAACACAACAGGCTATAGGGAATATGACCATATCAAAACAATATGACCAATATCAGACAATATATTCTCTGCCAAATTGGTTACTTACCAGTGGCGTAACTACTATGGGCTCGGACCGGGAGAACCCGGGGGCCCCAACCCCAATGGGCCAAATGGGGGCCACCAGGCTCAGGCTATAGAGCAAAAGCATTAGCCAGGGCCTTTGATATGTTACAATTTCGTTTTCTGACCATCAGAATTCTGTAAAATCTCTCCCTAAAGTCCGGGAAATGGTATTTCAGAGAATCTAGATTAAAAAATTTTCCGGGTGAGCATGCTCTGGACCCCCTAGAAAACTTGTGCATATATGGCGCTCGACTTGTGCCTTTGGCACTTCTACTAGGGGGGCCTTCGAAAGTTTTGAACCGGGGGCCCCCTGATATGACGTTACGCCACTGTATAGAACAAACCTGTTGTAGATATAGTATCCACTGAGGTATTGTTTAACATTGACAGTTTTAATTTTATTTCAGAAACCTTGAAATTTGAAATTTCCGTTGACGGTCTTGTATCACAGTCTTTTGAAGGTGCTAGTGTAATGTCTGGGAACTATAAAGGATTACAAAGGCTTGTTAGTGATTTCTGTGATCGATACATTTTATATGTTCACTGCTTTCTACACAAAATCCATCTTGTTGTGACATACGTTATGGAAAATCTTGATGAGATAAAGGAATTTTATGGCACAATAACGGCGCTGTACAATTTTTTCAAAAAATCAGCTGCCCTTGAATCATATGATGGCACTGCACTGCAACGACTCATTGAAACGCGTTGGTCTGGTCATTATGATAGTACCAGTCACGTAAACAAGAATTACGGTGATCTGATTCAAGCTCTTATAGTGGCGTCAAAAAACAAGAAGTTATCCGCGGAGGACAAAGCGCAGGCGATAGGACTTCTTAATCAAATGGACGATGACGAACACCATTCATTTATTTTCATTAATTGCATGTTAATGAAGGTGTTAAAACCAATTGATATTATGGTCAAACAACTGCAATCCGTCAATGAAAATTTCATTACAGCACTTGAAGTAGTTAAAAGTGTTAACTAGAGATGATATAAAATCGGAACGCCACACTGTCACGAACGAGAAGACTAAGAAGATGGTTGATGAATTCTTGGAAGATGTACAGGTTTCTACATCCAGTGGAGAACAACGTCGATCTAAGAGAAACACTGCGATTCCATCTCGTCTTGATGATTTTCTTATTACTGAAAGTCTGCCAAGTGAGAACACCAAACGTCCAAACATTCAAATTTTCATAGAATGCTTGGATGTACTGAATGCTGAATTCAGTCGGCGTTTTTCCACTGAAAACATTGCACTGTGGGAAGCTATGTCAGCATTATCACCATCGTCTGATGTGTATCTTGAGTATGACATTCTCAAGCCTTTGTTTGAGTATGCTACCACGATTCCTGTGTTGAGAGACTTCTATTTGAAAGAAAAACTTGCAACGAAAGATCTGGAAGCTGAATGCAGAATATACGCTCGTGTGTTTAAAGATAAGGAATGGCCAAAAAATGAAAACGAGAAAATTGATTTAAGTGAAGTTGCCATAATTGTCATAAATAATCACCAGAAAGGAGCTCCAATACTATCTTCTTTGTACAAAGTTGCTGTAACGTCGGGGTTCACGTCTACACGAGTAGAATGTGTATTCTCTTCCCTAACTCGAGTTGATTCCCCTCAACGAAGATCAATGAAAACGCAGCGTGAGGCTGATCTGGCTTATCTAAGCTTTGAAAGTAAGGTTTTGCTAAATGACATTACCTTTGAAGATTTTCACAAAGCTTGGAAAATGAAACCACGAACACTATCACTGTGAGAGTCATCAGTGAGACGTTTGTATGAATATTTTGATTACTAACAGAAATTTAATATTCCATTAATACACTATTTAGTTTTGCATTATTTTGGTTTTGGTTAAGCTTACCTTCAACAGTAAAGCAAATCAAGTTTAATTTAATTATTTGATAGTACTTTAATATTACTGTAGGCCTAATAAACGCTTAATTTCCATTTTGAACGGCTGTGAAACATGATAATATATACAGTACCACAGCGACCGTAGAAGATTAATACTTGAGGCTCATAGTCATACTCAATTTTTGTATGAAAATAGTTTGCTTGTAGCCTAAAATAAATAACCTCATTGTTAGAAGCTAGGCTAGATAGCAGACGGCTCAACTAACCCTATACAGAACTTTAAAGACTCACAAAATTGAGCACAAGTATAATACTTCTACAGTGTAGAAGAACCTTCCGTTCGATCCCAATTTTTCTGAGCTGGAAAGGAAAACTAGCTGCCAGAGGCGCCGGAATATCGATAATTGGGGGTGGGGGCAGATATTCATATATTCGTGTTCTGCCCAATTAATTTCTTCTGAAATCGATTGTTTTTACAGTCTGTGAACACGAATATATGATTATCTGCTCCCGTTGTTATCGATATTCCTGCGTCTCTACTAGCTGCTAGCACGAAAGTCAAAATCATCCCAACCCCTCTGTTGCATTCTTTCTGCAGTGCCCCCCTCCCCAGAAATTGGGAGCCAGCTACGGGCTTGATTTGGAGTTATGGTCAATGGCAACCCTCCGATGCCTAGAATCGAGTTTAATGAAGGCATCCCCGACGATATCGACAACGCAGATTACTTGGACGTATCACAACGGAAATTGATCGTATTGGATGATCTTATTGCACAATCCGGCAAAGAGAAATGCATATCGGATCTTTTTACGAAAGGAAGTCATCATCGCAATTTGTCCATCATCTACATTGTTCAAAATATATTTCATCAGGGCAAAGAAATGAGAAATATCAGTCTAAACGCTCATTATATTGTGCTGTTCAAGTCACGAAGAGATAAACAGCAAATTTCTATTATTGCAAGGCAAGTAGATCCTGGTAGAGTACAAGAAATTATGAGGAGTATGAATTATTATTATGAGGAGTGAGAATTTATGAGGAGAAGCTACTAGGCGACCTCATGGGTATTTGATGTTGGATATAAAGCCAACAACAAGTGATCAAGATCGACTTAAGACCAACGTAATTCCCGGCGAGAATGCAAAGTTTATACAAAAACAATCGTATTGACAACCACCGCTTCTAAATGCCATGTATGATGCCGAGCAGCGTATGAAAGAAATCATGGAAGCGCCACAGCTTAGCGCCGTGGAAAAGAGCAAGATATATACTGATCAGCTAAATCGGTTTCTCATATTCAAAATTAAGATGGCTCATTATTCTCCTGGAATTCCTGCTCAAAGTATCCCACAAGCGCCTGCCGTGATGCCGCAACAAAATGAATCTGTTGAGATAGCACCACCAGTGTCTGCTACTCCTAAACCTAATATTCTTACGCCACCACCAACAGAAGAGGAACGACCAAAACTCCAGCGCAACTTTTTCCACAATAGGGTCTACCCAGCAGATTGGACCGAACGTGACCTAGCGCGAATGACTCCGGAAGCAAGGGAGGATTATGAAATTTTATATTGAGCGATAGACAAAAATATATCTCTCCTCCGCAGAGCCTCCTTAAGTATTTACAAATAACTTACATGAAGTTTCCTGAATAAAAGTGAGCGCGCGCGGTGTGATGGGAAGATTGATATGAAGTTGGGTAGTCTCTGCCAGATAATGCGACGAAGTATGGTTTTTAAACCAAACTAGTTGTTTGACCTTTTTTTAAACTTGAAACGACAGAAATGTGAAAGAAATTGAAATGAATCTTCATAATCTGAGTGTCGAAGTTCAATAGAGTCATTTTTATAAAGAAATGTTGCAATTAAGAGGATATTTATAATCAGATAGCTCGTATCCATTGATATTCGTTTGCAATTTCTCAATATTTTTCGATGCAAATGGACAGAAGAAGATATTGATATTGAATTCACCTCAGGATACTCAAGTACGCCTGAAAATGAAAGTGGAAAACATGTTTTAACACCCCCGATCGATGATCGAACTTCGCTACAAACGATTATATACGACGCCATATTGATTGCATTAACTCGCAGAGGCTTCCATTATTTAGCTCTTCCCATTACTCCTTGCGCGCTCACTTTTCTCTCACTAGAACCTTCATGTAAGCCTCTACAGAGGAGACAGCCAAAATATATTCCAGTGAAGCCGGAGAAACTTGCAAAGTTATTCCCAAAAGATAGACAAAATATGAGAACATTTTAAAAATAACAAAAACACCTAGACGTTACGCTCTTAGAAGTAGACCGTACTAAATTTTGTAAAACGTTTTGAAGAAATAAATGCATTTTAAAACTGAAATCTTGTGCAAGCTTTTGCCTGCAAAGCCCGCTCTTTCCGCCCGCGCGACCCGCCCGCCTGATTGGTGTACAGATATGTTGCACTTTAATATATGCATGCACCCAAGCGTCGCTAATGACTGGCAACACATAGCAACGCATATAACGACCGCATATTTGATAAAAAAACATATTTTTATGGCAAAAATTTTTACCACTGTTCTAATTCTAACTTCCATTCTTGATAAGCTTTCTTACGATCTGACTCGGTCATCTTGTAGCAGTATATATGTATGTAGGAGGTTTGCTAAATAATGTTGAACAACATGCAAATATTGACCATAAGGACGACGTTGACAACCATGTTAACCCGGGATTAGCAACTGTTTAGTTCTGTTTAAAATATGTATTGATTTTTGTGACGAATAGATTCCTCGCTACCATTTTGTAAACATACGAGAAATCCTTCAATATACCTGTGGAAATTTATCTCTTCCGAGCAAAGATACGGCTATAACTCTGCTATATATTAATTTCGATAACAATTTTGCCATGTTGGGGACTCATAGTAAGCCAATCTTAATCCTCCTATTGTATCGCACACGTGGAGGGACGCTAAAAAATGTGTAGTCAGCAAGTTTTGTCCGATTTCGACCGAACATGCCCGCGTGACGTCACTGCATATAATTATGACGTATGTTAATTAATTAGCGCACGCTTACGCAATACGCACCCTCACTCCGCCACACTCCTCCTCACTTGGATAATGTTACTGCACAACAGCAATACAAACTGCAATTGATCATGAGTTAAATATTCAAGAGGAGACAGTAAGTTGAATGACATATTTAGTGCACAAGGTATTCCCCTTTTAACTGGGATTGCCTAGCCTGCGCAGCGGCTCTCAGAGAAAGGACAGCATGCACGAAACCCCATGCTTTATCATTTCCGCCCACTTAGCCTGCGGGTTACGCCCACTTTAAACAGATGTCAAAATTGGCCAATCACACAGATTGTTTACGTTTGCAAATTTACTTGTCAGAATGAAATATAAATATAGATTACTGTAAGTTCGCAAATTTCAAAACGAAATAATATACGGATGTCGGCTAAAGAAAATTGTAGTCTGTGGGAATAGCGCTAGGCCTAGGGCAATCTCTATCGTTGTCACAAGTAGTTTTCAATCCGTATATCTACGATATTTCGTAGCTTTCTCGCACACAATATAATATATAGTTTCGACAGCGGTCAACCGTGATGTATTAAATGTTATTAATTTAAAGTTTCGAGCGATGCAGAGAAGAGAATATGAAAGGTGTCCAAAGCCATCACTTCAGAGAGAGGAAGTCCTGTTCATAAAGACATAAGCATTTACAGAAATTCTCTCCTGGCACCAAATTATTAGCTACAAATCATGAAGAAAAAATGTATTTGTCGTCGATGAATTGATGAAAACGAACACGCTTGTGAAAGAGACGCTGCTATTAACAGACAGCTGAATCCAACGAAGACACCACAGTCAATATCTCTAGAGCTTCGTAAAGCAAGTTCGTAAATACCTTTATTGTTGAACAGTAAATCGTGGCCTTTAAGCTCTTTTGAATGCAAAACTCAAAGAAACGCCTCTCAATAAGACATCCGCCGTGTTTGTATGAATTTTAGCATAAATTAGCATTTTTTTCATTTTGAACCATTCAGATTTCTCGTCCTCTGAGAGAACGAGTAAATACGGCAATGCATGGGGATCCATACAACACCGCGGAAAAACGTCTGCGCATGCGTCAACTTTACCTGTAATAGTATTGCGAACTTGATGAGAAGCTGTTCCAAACGTTTCCGAAGGCTCAAAATAGCGGTAAAAAGGAGTGACTTCATTGTGCGTCTTTACAGCCAGATTTCGAGCGCGAAAATAAACATGTCATTCTAAAAACTAGGAATAAATACAGCCAGAAGGTTCAAGAAATTGTATTGTACAAGAACATGAACTAAAGGTGATTGTTGACAAATTTATCGTCTGAAACATTTTGTTTATCAACTAAGCAACGACAATTTCTTTAAAAAAAACTATGTCGCCAAATATAAAAAATTTTCGTGTTCACAATAATTAAACTATAGGATTTATTCTACAATTTGAGTGGGTTAAGAAGCTTAACTTTTCGAGAGTTTTCTTAACTTTTCAGTTTGAATATTTGTTTTGAATAATTTTGCAAAAATTTTCGAAGTCGTGTCCGTTAAAATCAACAATTTTTTACATGAATTATATTTCATTCCATACTTTAAATGCCAGGACGCTTTCAATTAATGTCTAGTCTACCCATTTGCTATATTTTCTCGTTTGTTTACTAATTTTTGACCAATTAATAAGCATGTTTTTCTTTTAGAAATTGATATTCAAATTCCCCGCCATATTTTCAGAATTTGGTGCATGCGCAGACGTTTTTCCGCGGTGTTGATTCATGCAGGCTGTCCTTTCTCCGTGATAGCCGCTACGCAGGCTAGGGATTGTCACATGCCAGATCATAAATTAATTGGCATAATCTACTTGGCAAATTAAACTGC